CTTTTCCTTCTTCCTTTCTCCCTCTCTCTCTCCATCCCTCCCTCCTTCTCTCTAATCTGCATGTTGGTCTCTCTCTGTCTCTGTCTCTGTCTCTGTCTCCCCTCATTTCTACAGTCAGTTTGGATGGAATGTGCGGCCCAGATCACTCGCTCTCCTGGACGACCATTTTTACATCCGATGGGCCCAATAACTGGCACTTTACATCATCATATACTGGTAGGTGGCACTCAGCAGCAGCTTCTGCCCATCCAGGGATGCTCCACACGCAAACAGCAGATCCATTCCCCTAGGAAAGGCTCCCCTCTGCTTTGACCCCTCTTGTTCTCTGCCCTTTCACCCCTGCTACCACCCTTCATAGGCTGAGTTCAGGATCCTCCTGTCAGCTCCTCCCAGACCTCCAGAGATGCCCTCAGCCTCTGCTCACTCACATCACCATTCTGAGCCTGCTGGGCTCCTGTTGCTTGCAGGAAGGAATTCATGTACTGCTGAGGAACAGCCAGAAGGAAGATTCCTGTATCCACAATGGCCTGGCAGCCCTGGGAACACCAGCCAGTGGCCTGGTTACCCATCGCAAACCTGAAGGGGAGACCAGATCCAAAGCCGTCAGACTCCTCAGCAGACAACTGAACCAGGCCAGAAGCCCTGTCCCTTCCCCACCCCAGCAGGTCCTGAAATCCTACCATTCAGCTGGAGAAATAGGACAATATACACATGGAACATCAACTAAACTCATATATAATAAGCACCAAGTGAGTGATTACTGGGAAATGAGTACTAGAGACATTTAAAGGAGGGAGAAGTCATTATGGGCCAGGATGGCACAGAGTCAAAAAGCCACATAATTTTAGAATTATTTGACATCTTAGAGACCATCCAGTCCAATACTTTGATTTTACTGATAGGAAAATGGTGACCAAATCAGGTGACTTGCCCTAGGTCTCATGGCTCGTGAGTGGCCACACTGGGATTAGAAGTCGGGTCAGGGTTGACTTCAGGATCCAGCTCTTAGAGGATGAGCAAGAGTGGTTTGATACAGAGAAGAAAGAAGGGAATTTCTGGTAGAGAGTATGGAAATAGTGAAAGATGTGGCAAGATGTAGCGACAGTAAAAAGACCAACTGCCCATTGAGTGGATAGCTCATGATAGGGAGTAATGGGAAATAAGTTGGGACATACTGACTGAAAGAATTTGTGAGATCCTTGAACACTAAGCAAAGGAGTCTGGATTTGATTCTGCAGACAAGATTTTTGAGAATGATTAAAATCTTGTTGGTAATCATAAGCTTAATACACTACAATCATAAAAAGCATTACTGTTTCTAAAGGGCTTTCTCATACATGACCTCATTTGAGCCTCATAACAATCTTATGAGGTAAAGCAAAGCAGGTATTATTATTCCCATTTTATAGATAAGGAAACTGAGACTCAGAAAAGCTAAGGCAGGGACCCAGATTCAAGACCAGCCAGAAGCATGCTGGAGTCATTTTGAATCAGCTACCGATTGTTATGTGTGAGCAAATTCAGAAATTGTGATTTAGAAATCAGCAAACTCTATAAATCAGGGCTTGATTGATCATTTCACGATTGTCCAGGCTTAAGAAAGTAATAGAAAAAATTATAATAATGCAGATTAAACTTAAAAGTATGTCATGCATATTTTCCCCCCAGAAAGTTGGTTGTTAAATATTTACCAGCACGCTGCTGCCAGTAGTATTATAATTTCAAGGGTTAGAGGTCAGAGGACCAAGAGTTCAGACCCATCTTAGTCTTTAATTCACTAAAGAGCTGTGAAGTCCTTAAGAGGGTCTTCCATCATCCCCACGACAGAGGAAAAAAACGCCTCCATTCCCTGCCTCCCCTTCTTACACACCCAGGAAATAATAATTACTAGCATCATATAGCACTTGGAAGTTTGCAAAGCACTAAAGAGACCATAAGGGGATGGCCCTGGAAACACTATTTCTTGGCTCCTGGACAGATCAATGAGGTGACTTACTCCTCAATGCCAAACTGCCAGTAAACTTCCTGAGTCACAGGGGTCCAGGTGTTCTGCCCAGAGTAGAGCTGAGGGTCCACACCTCCGAGGATGAGCTCCCCTGCATACTGCTGAGTTGGTTGACTGGGAACAGAGAAACAATATGGTGAGTCCAGGTGCCTGATACCTTCCTCTGGCATGGGGCTTTAGGAATGCTTCCCTGGGCATTAGCTGGCTAGAAAGCCCAAGGTCAGAGCTAGACAGGTTATACAGTCAGGGTTAAAGCAAAGAGTTATTGACCCAGGAAAGAAGAAATAGGCCTGGGCACCAATGATGTCCCTGGAGCTGACATCAGGATGTTTGGGACTGGCTCTCCACCCTGGGCCAGGAGCATCTTATTAAGAAACACCCCAGGGAAAAGGAATAGGGACCCTATGGATACAATGACATTTGGGGTAGGCCGAGGCTGAGTGGAGAACAATTTTCTACATGGAGATCACAGTCAGATTTGGGAGACTTCTCCCTTCCTTCTGAGTTCCCTTTAAATAGCCACAGGCTTGCCCCACTTCAAGCAAACCCAATACATGAAAATCCAGGTGTACCAATGAGATCATCAGTGGAAAGTGATTCACTTTACAAAGGCTTGGAGGCTTTTTTTTCATGTTACAAAATGATTCATCCAATTATACTTTAAAGTTAGATTTAAAATATGATTTCCAAACATTCCATTTACATACAACTTTTAGAAACTTGCTATTATGTAAAATGTAGACCACGCATGTGTTATTCTGACACCCAGTGTCAGAGCCTTTTATGATAATAATAATAATGGCATTTATATAGTGCTTTAAGGTTTACAAAATCCTTTACAGCTGTTATCTTATTTGATCTTCACAACAACCCTGGGAGGTAGGTGCTATCATGATCCTCATTTCACAGATGAGGAAACTGAGGCTGAATTATATCTGCCCCTAGCCCCAGAAACACGATTTCACTTCTGGGTGTGAGACTCTAGGGCAAATGAGATTGGTTTCAGTCTAAGCTTATCGGCAAGATATGATGGAAAGAGCTTTTGAGTTGGAGTTCCAGAACCTCCATTCAAATCCTGACTTGCCCAAAATCATACAACTAGTAAGTGTCTGAGGCAATATTTGAACACAGGTCTTCCTGACTCAGGTCCAGTAGTCTAACCACTGTACCAAGTAGCCTTTCTGACTGAGAAGTAGAAGTTCTTGGAGCGCTAGACACACTGAGGCCCTAACAGCCCTGGAAGCCTTGATCCTTGCCTGGCTTGGGGGAAGGGGAGTTACCCGGAGAAGTAGAAGCTGAAGATGGGTTCGGAGAGCTGTCCCTGCTGCAGTATCCCCTGCATCACTGTTGGAGAACTGCCTACAGCCATTGCTGGGTAAGCCATGCCCAAAATCCCATCAAAGTCAGAACAGTAGAAAGGCCTGATGGGCTCGTTCTCACTCAGGCCAAACTCCTGGTTACACACAACAGTGTTTTGAACCTGGGGAGAGACAAATAAATTGGGTAGGAAACCCCCACCCCACAAACGAGCTTCAGGACACTGAAGCCGGAGAGAATCCGGATGGTTAAGCAAAGGAAGCCAGTGGGTCTATAAGGAATCAAATAAAGCTTAACAAATAGAAGAATTAACTAAAGCCCACATCCAGAAGGGAATCTCTCCTGGGAAAATCAGGAGCATTATGCATGTGACCTCTTCCAGGGCTAGACCATAGCTGACCTTGAGTCTGACCATTTATGATGTGGCCACGCAGGATGGAGCAGAGAAGGACCAATTGACTTCTATCTGCCCTCTAACCCTGATAACATGATTTCACTTCTGGCTGTGAGACACTAGCAGATGAAACTGATTTTAGATTAAGATGTGATGAAAAGAAAGAACTTCTGATTTGTAGTCCCAGAACTTCAATTTAAACCCAGGCTTTGCTACTCACAACCTGTGTGACTTTGGCCAAATCATTTCTGCTCTCTGATCCTCAGTTTACCCATTTGTAAAATGAGGAGATCAGGTTAGAATAATAGATAACCCCTAAAGTTGCTTCTGGCTCTAAGTCCATGGTCCTATGAGGAATAGTTAAAAAAAAAAACAAAACTCTAGGGACGAAAAGATTAAGGGGGGAAAAACTGAAATATTTGAAGTCACCTAAGACTTGTACCATCATATGAATAAATTCTGCTTCTCCAGAAGGCAGAACTAGGGCCAGTGAGCAGAAGGGGGAGATTTTTACTTAATATAAGGTGTGTCTGGAAGACAAGGTGGTATATTGGATTAAGTGCCTTGGGGTCAGGCAAGCCAGGGCTCATCAGGTCCTGCTTCCAAAGCATACAGCCTAGGTGCCCATGGGCCATCCATCCAATTTCTCAATGACCCAGACACACTCTTAGATTATCAATTAACAAATTGCTGACCTGCCCTAGCAGAGAGTTTCCAAATCTGATGAAATCATAAGGCTGGACCATCCCTCCTAACCCATCTGCCCCAAAGAGGTGCTGGAGTCAGCTCAGAACCACCAGCTCTGTTAAATTATCACTGGGAGCATTTACATCCGCAGAGGGCAAATGCTACACTTGATTTATTGTTTTGTTGATTGTTGAGACTTAAGAAAGTGATGGGGAGAATACTGATAAGGCAAATTAAATTTAAAAGTGTGCTGTACACTTTTTTTTTCAGATAGCCAGTTGTTAAACATTCACCAGCACACCCTGCATCCACTACACTAAGAGTTATCTAATAAAATTGTCCAATCATGGAACGGGATGCCAAAAAGGTAGAAAAAAATGTGCAGATAGTGCCTGGACCACTCCCACCCCACTTCTTGAATTGGGAAAGTATAGGTGTGGAACATTGCATGTAAGGTCAGACTTTTTCAATATGTTGCTTAGTTTCAATGAGTTAGGTTTTTTTTCCTCTTCTAACTTTTCATTATAAGAGATGGCTCTGGGAGAGAAATGGGGGAGGGGGAGATAATGAAATGCAGATGATTTAAAGCAAAAGACATCAATAAAAATAAGAAGATATCAATAAAAAAAATCAATTTAAAAATTGTCCTGAATGCAGAAAGATAGCAATAAAAATCAATTTTTTAAAAAAAATCTGTTTGGGATATTGAAAGATACCAATAAAAAATCAAATTTTAAAAAATTCCCATCCTGGGTGCTGAAAAATATCAATTTTTTAAAAATTTTTTTAAAAAACTTGTCATGCATGCTGAAAGATATAAATAAAAAACAAATCTTTTTTTTTTTAAACTACCTTTCCTGGATACTAAAAGATATCCAACAAAAATAAATTTTAAGAAGCCACCTGTACAGGTCGCCGAGGAAGGAATCCTTGAATCAGAGACTAGGGGACTTCCACAATGCTTTGGACTTTTAAGAATCCATGATTCAGTCTCAGGCGGGACTGCCTTCTCATCATGGAAAGGTGGGGGAAGGGGCGCTCAATGCACCCACTCTGTGCTAAGCACGCCTCATTCGAAGCTCGACAACCGTGGGAGGCTGGTGCCACTGCGGTCCCCATCTTTCTGTTGGGGAAACTGAGGCCGCTAGCGGTTAACTGACTTGCCCGGGCCCCACAGCTCATAAGTCGCCAGGGCGCTGTCCCCGCCTTCCTAAGTGTTCCGCGTTTGCACCGCGTTTGCACCGCGTTTGCACTCGCGCTTCCTGGGGGGGCAGCAGGATTCGCAGCAGTAACCGTGGCGGGGCCAGGGCTACTCACGGTCACGGTCACGGTGTCGTAGCCCAGCGGCACAGTCAGGTTATCGCTTCCGTAGGACAGCGTGTACGTCTGCCCTCCTGGTGCTGAAGGTGGACGACTGGCTGGGGCTGAACCTATTGTGATTGGCTGCTGAGACACAGAAGAAGGCGTGGGCATCTCCTGCGCCGGCGCGACCTGCTTCCTGAGGCAGGCAATAAGCACTTATTGAGCGCTTACTGTATGCCAAGCAACGTGCACCGGTCTCCTTCCTGCTTCCTGAACAATGTGCATTTATTAAGTGCCTGCTACATACCAAACACTGTGCATGGGCCTTCTTACTGTTTCCTTAACAAGTCAGTCAGTCAATAGGCATTTATTAAGTGCCTCTTATGTGCCAGGAACTGTGCACAGACTTCCAGTTTCCTGAAGGTCAGTCAATAGGCATTTATTAAGCGCCTGTTATGTGCCAAGCACTGAGCTAAATCGCTCATCTTCTGAATGTGGCATTCAAAGCCCTTTAGTAACCCAGTCCTCCTTTCCAGTCTTTTTCTCCCAACACCCCCCTCCATATAGTCTTTCCCTCAAGCCTGGAATGCTCCCCCTCCTCACCTGGACCTCCCAGCTTTGCCCCCTCCTTTCTTTAAGGCCCGCCTCAAACCCCATCTTCAGCAGGAGGCCCTTCCCAGCCACCCACCCTGCCCCCCCTCCCCTATGGACTACTGCCTTCCCTCTGAGATGACCTTCCATACAAAACCCTGTCATTCAAGGCCTGCTGGCCCTCCCTTCTGAGGTCTCGCAGTCTATGCACAGACTCCCCCCCCCCATTGGACTGGGGGCTCCCGCTGCTTGGCGCAGGTCCTGGGCAGAGCTGGTGCTTACTCAGGGCTCACTGATTCCTCGTGCCCACAGGGCCTCCCCATCACTGGTCTGGGGGCTTCCCAGGCCTAGGCCTGGAGCCTCACCCACCCACAGAGAGCCTTGCTGGCTGAGCACAGCCCCGGCACCTCTCAGTCTGTCTGAGCCTGGGGAAGGGGCAGGCCTAGATGGGAGGCCTCTAGCTCCAAGGCCTGTGACCCCACCTTGATCCCAAGAGTCAGCCTGAATTCTGGTCCACCCCCTAGACACAGGGGTAATTGTAACAGGACTAACTGAAGAAAGGGGGAAGGATAGGGGAGGAGAACATGTAGGGCAGCACCCCCAGGGAGCGCCTCATGGGTGGGTAGGGAGGGTGGTAACAATGGTGGAGAGGATGGGGGCAGTGAGTGGGGCCCCTACTTATCTCTCCCCCTTCCTGTTCTCTTTCCTCCCCCTCCTCCTTTCTCTTCTCTCCCCTCCCCCTCTTCTCTCTCCCCTTCCCCTCCCTTCTTTATTCTTTCCCTTTTCTCCCCTCCCCCTTTCTCTTCCCTTCTCCCCCCTTTCTCTCCTCTCCCCCTCCTTCCCCCTTCCTCTCCCCCTCTTTTCCCCTCTCCTTCTCTCCCCTCCCCCTCCCCTCTCTCTTCCTTCTCCTCCTCCTCCTTCTCTCCCCTCCCCCCTTTCTCCCTCGCGGAACCCAGCTTCGGCACTCCTCCTCAGGACTTCCTGGTCCTCTGTGACACCGGCTCCTCCAACCTGTGGGTGCTCTCCACCTGCTGCCGGACCCAGGCCTGCCGTGAGTGCCCGCCTGGGGAGGGGGAGGGGAGGGAGGGGGGAGGGAATGAGGGGAGGGGGGAAGGGAGGAAAAGAGGAGGAGGAGAAGGGAGAGAGGGAGGGAAAGAGGGGGAGGGGAGAGAAGGAGGGGGAGAAGGGAGAGAGGGAGGGAAAGAGGGGGAGAAGGGAGAGAGGGAGGGAAAGAGGGGGAGGGAAGAGAAGGAGGGGGAGAAGGGAGAGAGGGAGGGAA